CCCCCCCAGTGTCCTCTTTTTTGATTGTGGAAATATGGTAACCCTATTCCCCACTCACCTCCTGGTTCCCTGCTAGCTCCTCCTCCAGCTTCAGCAGTTCCTGCTGGATGAGCCGCTGGTGCTGCTCCCGCAGACACTGCCTCCTGGCCTTGGCCATGGCAAACTGCAGCTCCAGAGCCGGGTGCTGCTGAGAGGCCCAGCTCCCCACCTGGCAGAGAGCAGACACGAGAAGGCACCCAGGAAGTGACTCTCCTACGCAGGCCATTCCCAGCTGCAGCGCTGGGGTGCAGAGAGGGAGCCAGGCAGGCAGCCTGGGGTCCCTCTGCACTGGCATTTGCATGCTTGGGAGCACTGGGGGATTGCACCAAGTGTTGTGCCAGAGGGGCCTTGTCCTAACACCAGGGAGAGACAAAGCAGGGAAGAAAGAGGAGCGGGGACAAGCCTGCATGTCCTCCCCAATGAAACACCCTGGGGGTTTCCTGAATTGAGGACAGGGGGGTGCAGGGTGGCTGAGGGAGGGCAGAGGGCTGCAGTATAGGGTACGGGACTGCTATGGTCCTCTTCACCTCCTGCACATGTGCAGCATGGGGTGGACCGTGCATAGCACAGGGCAGACATGATGTGGGATGGATGCAGCACAGGCAGGACACTCTAAGCCCTTTATACCTCTTCAAGGCACAGCCCCCAGGAGCTCGCACCGTTACCAGCCTGGGCTGAGGCAGGAAGCTCAGCTGGGCGCAGGGCTGAGGAACAAGTTGTGACTCACCAGGTTGCACCCCCGACCCCATTCCCTCCTTGACTGCCTAGTCGGTCCCCTCTGTTCTCCGGTCATGGAGCAGAGATTTCTCAAGGCTTCTCCATTCCCCTCCAGCTCTCAGCCACCCTGTGGGGAGCCACACTGCTCTGGGGCTCCCCCAGCACAATAATGCGCCATCTGTGGGGGAGAGCTCAGCTCCCTGCCTGCATGAAATGGTGTGAACTCACTGCCTGTAGGAGGGCTGCAGCCCAATTGCTCTGAGCAGGAGGTGCTGTAGGGACCTGGGGGGAAAGGCTCTCAGAGTTACTGCAATCCCTGCCTCTCCCACCAGGAGGTGTAAGAGCACTGGCTCTGCCTGTAGCTTCTCCCAGCTGGAGTGGCTGTGGGATACAGTGAGAGCTGGGCCCAGCTGGGAGATCACAGTGTCCCAGCCCAGTATGGTAGTGCCGGCTGGGCAGGAGATGCAGCGCACTGAGAGCCCTCGTGGCAGCAGAGGCTGGACTATGTGAAAAGTAGTGAGAGCAGATCTCTTGGAAAGGTCAATCCAGGCAGAACAGCAGGGGGGCCGGTTCCCTTCCAAGTCAGACAGAGAACAGTCCGCAATTCTGTGCCCAGCTGGGGCTCCTGGCAGTCTGGCTGAGGGCTGAGCAGAGAGCCAGAATGGCTATGCCTGCAGCCTGGACAGGCTCCAGCTCATTAGAACTACAGAGTATTGGGGCTTTTGGATGATGCATGAACCCTGTGGCGGGAGTCCTTCTGTTGGGGCCTGATCTTGCTTGGGTGATTAAACGCCACCTCCCCGAAATCTCCAGATAGTTCCTTTGGCTACGTTGGTCCTTTTCACTTTGCAGGGTCTGAGTCTCCTCTCATATATAATGGGGTAAGTCAAAAGTAACACCATGGAAATCAAAAGTCTAACACTGGGGTAAGTGAGAGGAAAATTGAACCCCTTGTGTCTAAATTGTTGTGTAGTGTTGCTGTGTGCAGATAGACACCTGCCACATTCCACCCCAGAGGTGGCTGCATTGCAGCAATGGTATATGTATTGTTTGTGAAGCACTTCCAGTTCCTGCTGGATAAAATCCAGTCTATAGCAGAGGATAGTAGTGGGGCTGATATCAGTCAGGAAGAAGAATGGCTCCAGATAAACCATTTCTCCACAAACACTTGTGGGCTGTGAAGAGACAATGGCAGGATGGGAAAAGGTGTTGGAGCCAGAAGATCTAAAGGACTGTGGCATGTTTGAAAAGCCCCCTCCCTCCCTGCTCTCAAGAGAGGGGATGGGTGTAGGGGAGCTGTTTAGGGGGCCAGACTGACATCCAGGACCCACACAGGAGTTCAGCTGGCCCAGTGATCATTGGGATGAGTGGGCTTTCAGTGAGAGACATGTGCAGGCTGCCTGTCGTTTTAAAATCCTTTTTCTCTAACACTTTGTTCCTGCTGTTAAAATCAATAATGTTTGGTTTTAAGCAGGCTGTCTGATTCCCATGTGCCCCTGGCCACAGCCTCCTGGAGGGAAGAACTGCAGGTGCCTGAACCCAGTTGGACCTGCAGGGTAAGCACAGTTGTTACACAGGCTCCTGTAGCCCAGGGCCTATCCTGAGAGTAGGAGAATTACAGGATCCCACCCCGGGAGAGGGGAAGGCTCAAGAGGGAGGTGCAGCCAGCCCTGTGACCATGACGTAAGTCACATCTAGGGAAATCAAATCTGTGCAGACAGGGAGACCTTCTACTCCAGGCTGCCCTGTGGTGTCCGTGGGCCTCTCTCCTAGCCCCAGTGCATCGCACTCACCGCGCCGGTCACACTAGCAGTGCAGGTTGGTTCCTGTGTTCTGCTGGCTCCACTTTGCAAAGGCTTCTCCCCTGTCACTGCTCCCATGCTCGGGGGGATTCGGCCAAACCACCCAGGGCTACTTGTGGCAGCTTCGCCTCCTTTGTCATTACAGAGGGGAACAAACCCTGCAGGAAAAGAGGGAGGGGGATCTGCAGGGGAGGGGATGCTGGGGAAAAAGAAGCAGAACCCCCAACACAGCCACACAAGCCCCTCTCCCAGCCCCCCTTCCTCCCCTAAGGAGGCCCAGACCCAGAAGTTTCTCCACTGTGGGTCCCCTTAACAGCAAGCTGGACTGCACCCAGTCTCGCCGGTGCCCTCTCAGCTGGTGTGGGGTGAGGCTGACCTCAAGGAGGGGCCATTCTCTGGGTATTTAACAAGTTATCTGAGCCCTCAGATCATGTTAGCAGCCAGTTCACCCCCAGGTTAGGCAAGGACAGACCCAGTCCTGAAATTGCTCCCACACCTGGGACGTCTCCATCTGGCTTGGAGTTGCCTCTGTCCAGGAACTCTTGGCTTCTCAGGATATCTGTCAGCACCTGGTTTGTAAGCTGATCGTCCCTGCCCAGCCACACTGGGATTCGACCCTGTAGTGTGGGACACATCAGACAGGGCCCTGTTAAAGCTAAATGGGGCCAGGATCCACTGTAACACTGGGGACCTCTGACAGAGCATTCCCCCTCACTTGCAGCCCCTCCCACCCAGACTCTGCTTCCCAGCCCCCATCCTCAGTCCCCCGCAGCAATGAAGCACAGCCATCTCAAGCTCATCCCAGCCAGCAGCTGGCCAGCTGTGCAGGGCCCCAGCTGTCCAACCTCTGACTCAGTGCTGAGTGTGGGCTTCCCCTGACTGTGTGGCCCAGATTCTGAAGATGGTGCATAAAGTGCTGGGATGAGACCCGGAGCTGGCCCAGCAGGGAGCTGCACAGTTACTGTACAAGCTAGCTCTCTGCTTGGCTTGGGGATGGGTTCTGACTTTATCTGTATCACTTATGCCTGCTCCTATGACTCTGCTGCTAGGGGGAGGGGATGTTCCTTGTCCTGTGTCACGTCCCTGTGCCACTGCTCTGCATCTGGAGGGCAGTGATCAGCAGCTGGAATCCCGGATTCACCTTGGCTTCAGGATGACAGCTCCCACTTCCTTCAAATGCCTCCGACATCTCTTTCTTTTTCTCCCAGCTCTGGTTCTTCAGCACCTGGAAAACAGGCCCGGGAGACCTCATTGTGCTGTGTGTCACCACCACAGGGACCATGCTGTCCATGGGGGGCAGCAAGCCAAGTCCTAGGTAAGGCCATCATCCACAGCACCTCCGGCATCTGCTGACTGCACAGCCCTGGAGCATTGGAGATCCTAACCCCTTCCAGGAGACAAACTCTCCCCAGTCTCTGGCTAACTCCTTTTGCCCTGAGGAGAAGCAAGGGACACCTGGGGATGCTTACACTCAGGTTTACAAGACAAGAACTTTATTTCTGTTCAGACTTAGGCCCAGAGTGTTACAGCCACGTAACCCATGCCAACCCATCTGCATCCAGCACTGTGCATGCATACAACCACGTGGCACACACACATAGCTAGGCATACACTGTGCTACCAGCAGAATGGTGCATCTACCTACGCTGTATCCACCCCTAGAACCTAGTAACCTAGACAGCCCAGAGTCCCACACCCCTGGCCTGGCACAAGGCTGCCTTCCCAGAAGGTAGATCAGAACATTATTATGTTGCTGTCTGGATGGGTGATGTTCCTCCATCCCAGAATGCATTGCGTGCTGGTGCCCCTGCTGAAGTATTGGTGTTTATCCTGCTCTTTAAAACCTCCAATGACAGAGATTCCACAGCCTCCCTAGGCAATTTATTCCAGTGCTTAACCACCCTGACAGTTAGGATGTTTTTCCTAATATCCAATCTAAACCTCCTTCTTTATTTTAAGACCATTGCTTCTTGCCCTATCCTCAGAAGTTAAGGAGAACAGTTGTTCTCCCTCCTTGTAACAACCTTTTATGTACTGGAAAACTGTTATCATGTCCCCTCTCAGTCTTCTCTTTTCCAGACTAAACAAACCCAATTTTTTCAATCTTCCCACATAGGTCATGTTTTCTGGACCTTTAATCATTTTTGTTGTTCTCCTTTGGACTTTCTCCAATTTGTCCACATCTTTCCTGAAATGTGGTGCCCAGAACTGGACACAATACTCTAGTTGGGGCCTAATCAGTGCAGAGTAGAGCAGAAGAATTACTTCTCCTGTCTTGCTTACATCACTCCTGCCAATACATCCCAGAATGATGTTCACTTTTTTTGCAACAGTGTAACACTGTTGACTCATATTTAGCTTGTGATCCACTGTGACCCCCAGATCCCTTTCCACAGTACTCCTTCCTAGGCAGTCATTTCCCATTTTGTGTGTGCAGCTGATTGTTCCTAAGTGGAGTACTTTGCATTTGTCCTTATTGAATTTCATCCTATTTACTTCAGATCATTTCTCCAGTTTGTCCAGATCATTTTGAAGTTTAATCCTATCCTCCAAAGCACTTGCAACCCCTCCCAGTTTGGTATAGTCCACAAACTTTATAAGTGTACTCTCAATGCCATTATCTAAATCATTGGTTGTGTTGTGAAAAATGGCGCACAGCTCTGGGCTAGCCAGCTCGGGCACGAGTGTCCCAGCGGTGTACAGCTAGATGTGCAGTGTGTCTGCTTCTCCCACCTGCAGGTCCCTCAGCACTCTCCTCAGCTGGCTGATCACACTTTCCTGCACTGTGCGGCTGCTGCTGGAGAGGAGCTGGGCCCTCAGCTCTCGGATCTCTGCCCTCTGCCTCCAAGCTGCTTTGGCAGGATCCCAGTGGGTTGGTGAGACCTTCTTGGCCAGTCCCCTCACCTGCTCAGCCAGCGAGAGGGCTGACAGGATCTCTTCTCCAGAGGCATCTACAAGACCAGAGACTATTCAGCCATGAGGGCTGCTGGAGCAGGAGTCAATGTCATACACTTAGAGACTACAGGGAGCAGAGGCCAGGGAGACAGGAAAGAGGGCAGTGGGAGGATGGGGGGGAGGGGAATTTGCTGGAATAATCAGTCCAGTTAGCCATGCCTGAGGGCTGAATTACAGCAACAATCCCTGCAGACCAACATGAAGTCACTCTGCCCAGGCTGGCCATGCAGGGACTGGAGGCAACAGCAGGTGCGAACTCTGGGGAGTCTTTCAGACACTGGCTCCCAGCTAACAAGCTGGCACCATGCTCTGAGCAGCAGGGAACCTTCCTGCCCTCCCAGTGAGAATGTCAGACCATGGCCAACTTCTGGGAAAAAGATCGGAGAGATCACAGGCCAAGGACTGGGGAATCTATCTGGGATCACCAAGAAATGGGGCCCAGGGACCAACACGGGAGAGGACTCTCAGATGTTGGGGGAGGGGGCTCTGTGGTTGCTGCATGTGAATGCAAAAGTTCCCCTCACTCAGGACCCGGCATGATAAGACGTCAGGTGCACCTGGGATGGCAGAGACAAGCTGCCGTGGCACAGACAGGTGCCCGGCGAGCAGATCGATGGGAAGCCCTGAAACAAACTCTCTGCCTTTACTTTGCAGAGCATCTTTCACCGTCGCTGCCTGGATGGCCTCTGCAGCTACTACATTACAGTGAAAGGGGGACAGTCATTGGGGGCAGTGTTTCTGTCCTGCCAAGGGCTGAGATGAGCTCAGAGCTGCAGGGAGTCTGCTGCAGAGGAGAAGGCTCTCGCACCCACAGGGGTGGGGCTGCATGATAGGGCCCCCAAAGCCAGAGCTAGATGAGTGCAGGAAGGGCAGTGCAGAGACACAGGGAGGCCTGTGGAGGGAGGGAGAAAGGAAGCAACCCAGGCAAACCCCTGGGCATCTTTCAGTGCATGGCAGAGTCAGACGAACACATTGGCCCTAGGGCCAGGGGTTAGCCCCACCCCACGCAGTGCAGCACTAGGTGGTGGCCCCTCTGTCCAGAGCAGCGCAAGGGGATGGGGAGCGTTAATCCCATGCCCTTCTCTCCTTTCCTGACTGGCCTCTAGCTGTAGGATCACAGAACAGGCCAGCACGGCTCCTTCTGGCTCCATCCAGAGCCAGGTGCTCGCTGTAAATCTGCTGCCTCTGGACTGGGCTGTACCTCCAGCTGCAGGCATGTCCTGGCTGTGCCCTCGGGGAGTCTGGCTGGCAGATGGGGCGATTCTGCTAACTGAACGTGGGTGTTCCAGGGTCTGCCCAGCAGGAGGCAAACTCAGCACTGGTGCATGGACCTCAGACACCAATCCCTGCCCTGGGGCGGAGTGGGTATGATGGGCAGTAGTGGGGCAAGTACCTGGCAGGGTCAAACACAGCAGCAGGAACGTGAGGTTGTTTCCTTCTAGTGTCCGCTTGAGAATCCAGGGGAGGAATCCTGCATTGTCCGGGAGCTCACCAGGAGCCAGAGCTTGGAGCAGGGGTGAGAGACTGCAGAGAGACAGGACACTGGGTATGAGAGCCCCACAGGTGGGAGGGCACAGAGACAACAGCACACCATTATAATCATTATTATTAATTAAGGTGGGAATCAAAGTATAAGGCCAAGGGCCCAGCACATGGCCCAGTCCCACCCAGCCTGGGTGCCTGTCTCCAGTGCTAGGTGCTGCTGAGGAAAGGTGGGTGAAACTCTTGGCTGTTTGGGCACCATGGTCCCATGGGGGAATCCCTTCCTGCCCCCAGCTAGTGACCAGGCAGGCTCTGTACAGCACATGGCACAATGAGGTCCTGATCCTGGCCAGGGCTTTTGAGTGCTATGGCCATGCACATAAATAAAAGTGAAGCAGGGGGACTGCAAGCCTTGGCTGCCATTGCTGCTGCTGATCATATACCAGCCTGAGTCTCTTTTCAAACGTATGGAACTATAGGTCTCATTATCCTGCAGCAGTGAGTTCCACAGGATCCCATTGACCATGGACAAGCCATGGGCTGGTGCCCTGGAGAAGCAGCTTGGAGCTCATGTCCCCCCCCGTACGTACGGCTCCACACAGGGCCCAGCCCCTCGGGGGAACTCCAAAATCCTGACAGCCGAGCGTTGGCGCCTGCAGCCCTCCAGCTCCTGCTCCACGGTGAGGGTGAACAGGCTGGCGCACCTGGGGAAGGCAGGAGGGTGAGGGCATGCACGGGGGGCAGCTGCTCACCTTCCCAGGAACCAGGGGGCAATGGGCCGTGACAAGCGGAACAGCCCCTTCCCTGGCACGCTCCCAAGGTGTCGGGTTGTGGCTCAGCTGCTGACGCAGCAGGACCTAGCTGAGTCAGTCCTGCTGCTGTGACAGCACTTGAGCAAGTTACCACAATTTCCCCTCTAGGTACACATCTGGGGAGCTCGGCATGAAGACACTGCGTGGCTTGTGGCTGCTTCCGATGGAGATGCCTTGGAGCTTCTCTGTCCAGGGGGGTGCAGGATCTACTGCCCCAGGGCCGAATCCAGCTCCCAGGGGCCAGAGGGCTAGTGCTCAGATCCTGCCAGCAGCTTCTCTACCTTCTCCCCTTCCTGGGCTTTGGGAAAGCCCCTTTGGTCCCATTTCCAGTCCCCTTCTGCACACACGGCCCCTCAAGCCCTGGCTGGGGAGCCCTTGGGATCTGGCTCTGAGCTCTCAAAGATGGCAGCCAGCCAACCCACCTGTGCTCTGGGAATTCACCCAGATAAACAGGGCCAGGCCTGCTTGGGAAGTGGATGGGAGATGGCCAAGGAGCATGTAGGGTCCCTTACAGAAGATGTACAGTTGCAGTAGCAGTCCCAGAGCCACTCCCCCCACCAGTACACACACCCTGGGGTGCCCTCCCCTAGCCTTGACCCTTACGTGGCTCCTTGCCGCTCCACCTGGGACTGCTGCGAACAACCTTGGGACAGTGCTGGACTGTCCTCCAGCCCCCTCACATAGAAGCTGTAGGCAGCTGTAGAGTTGGACACAACAATTTCACTTGCCTCTTCCACCATCCTAGAAACAGAGAGCCAGGAGTAAGAGGCACCGGGGGAAAGAGCACGGGGGGGACCAGCACAAGCCCCGCATGGGGCAGAGCAACCAAACCCTCTGGATCTCCTCCCCTGTCCCCCTCCTCCTTTGGCCCTTGCTCTGGAGGGACTAGCTCCATCACCCCCAACCCCGGCCCACAGGATCAGCTCTCACCCCAGCCCAGGGGTGGGGCAGTCCCTGTGCAGACTGAGAGGCTAGCCGGGGGGGTTCCCAGGTCTTCCTCTGGCTGCAATCACCCTGGGTCCTACCAGACCATGTGATGAGCAGAGCTCGGGGCCACAGGCTTGTGGAGTCAACACATTCTCCAACATCAGAGATGCTCTTCCCTCTTCCCTCTTGCAGCTCATCACCCAGGCCTTTCCTCCCATCCTTTGCCCTGGCTAAGGAGGGGGCACCCCCTCACATGCCCCCAGGCTTGAGCGCCATTCCCAGAGCAGAGCAGCTGCTCAGTGGCCTTTGGGGCACCTTGTCCCTCAGCCCCAGGCAACTGGGGGATGGAGCCCAGCCTCCTCCCACTGCAGCCTTAGTGCCTCAGTAGTACTGGAGCGGGAGGCCTCCCCATACCCCCCTCCAGATGCCAACAGCCAAGCTGCTTTCTGCCTGCCCAGAGCCGGGCTTTGCCGGGTGGCACCATCAATGGGAGTGAGCGCAGAGCAGCACAATGGCTGCATGGTCGTGGCATGTCCCCACTGCTGCCAGCAGCTGGGAATGGGCCTCTTCCAGCCAGCCCCCAGCCCATCCCCTCTCCACTGGCTTCTATCCAGCTGCAGGCTTGTCCCTGAGTAAATAAAGTGCTTTAGAAACAGAAGGATTCAAAGCCCCTGGGTGAGGAAGGGACAGTGGCTGGGTGCTGGGTGGGGTTCCTTCCAGCTCTGCAGTGCACCCCTACTTTCCTGCACTCCCATCCCCAGCTTTGCAGTGCATCCCCTGCTGTCCTGTGCTCCCACCCCCAGCTCTGCAGTGCATCCCAATCCTGAGCTACAGTCCCCCCACCTCTGTCCAGTCTTGGGCTCTTAACAGCTCTGCCAAAGGTGCCCAGTCCTGGCCTGCTCCCTACCCTGCTCTCCTGGTCCTGCCCTCCCACCTCCAATGCTCAGTCCTGAGCACTATTCCCTATTCTAGTCCTGACCACACACCCACAGTTCTGCCGTGGCACCCCAAGCCCAAGCTCCACGTGCTCTGGCCAAGGGCAGCGTGTAGCTTTCAGAGATGTCACTGAAACCATCCCCACACTGTGGCCTTAGCCCCTCTATTGCCCAGCTTGGTGCTGGGGACTGGAAGCCTCTTGCTAATGCCCTGGGAGGAGCAGGAATGAGGGATCAGGTACGTACAGACCCAGCGGGGGGACATCCAGCACGTGCAGGGCTTGATTTCTGGGGCTGAGCAGGTCCCGGGCATTTCCATCTGCACAAAGCTGTAACGAGCAGCATTAGTACTGAGCAGGGGCCACCCTGGGCATGGAGCAGCGCTGGCACTGGGCTGTCTGGGTAGGGAGTGCCCAATGCGAGGGGGCAGGAGCCCAAGGGGGGGCTGGGAGAACACACCATGGGCTGGGTGGTTTCACACAGGGCTCCTGAGCCATGGGGCTGTTTTAACAATGAGGAATGCCTGCGATGGTCTAGCTCCATATGGGAAACCCGGAGTCCTGATCGGTGACGTTCCCCTGATGCAGGGAGCCATCCACACGGCTCAGTGAGCTGGTGCAGAGGCCTTGGACCGGCTCTATGACCAGGGATCTCACCCTTGTCAGACTATACGTGGTGAGCTATAAAGCAGTTGAACTGGGAGTCTCCCCATTCCCGGCGGGCTGGCTCTCCATGGGGCACATGCAGGGATGTGAAAGGAAATTGATGGGAACTAGAGTTTGGTCAGCAATGGAAAGCTTGGCTCCCGCCCAGTGTCACAATGTCACTGAGGGCCCGGGGGCAGCACTGCTGGGGTGTGTGTGTGTGTGTGTAACTGGGTGGGACTGTGGCTGGGGACTGCATGTGTCTCCAGCAGGTGCACTGAAAACCTGTGGCATCCCAATAATGTGGGGTGGCCGGGGGATAGTGGAAGAGCTGGACCCATCTGGGGCCTGACTCACATCCCCATTGAATTTAGTAATTCACAGGGCTTTGGATCAGGCCCTTGGAGGGTGGTGGGGGTCTGTATTGTTATCAGAAGTCCTGGCTACACTTCTCTTTCATTAGAACAACCTTGGTAAAGCTGCCCCCGCTCTAACATCACGGAGACCCTGCTATGTTTTCAGTGTGAGCCTTGGTTGATAAAATTAGGGTTACCATACGTCCGGATTTTCCCGGACATGTCCGGCTTTTTTGGGATTCAAATCCCCGTCCGGGGGGAAATCCCAAAAAGCTGAACATGTCCGGGAAAATCCGG